CCCATTTTATAATCATTCCAACACAATGGGAGTTTCCACATGGCTCCCCGGGAGGGAGTCTTGGTCCAGAGGGCCTCTCTCTTCCACGTCTAATGAAGGCTGGGCTCATGGCTTCCAAGATAGCCCTGCTGATTGGTTTTCTCTTCTTTTCTCTTTACGACTTCGGGCTAAAAGTGGGCCCGTCCAGGTCTGAATCCCAGGGCCTCCACCTACTAGCTGCACGGCCTGACCGGGCCTTGACTCTGCCAAGATCCCGACTCCTCGTCTGCAGCACAGACATGGTTCTTGTCCCTCACAGAGGTGACGAGGACAAGTGAGGTCGCACAGGTCAAGCACAGAGCCTCGCGTGGGGCTCACAGCGAGCGCCTGATGTGTGGTGGCTACCTCGCCAGAGGCCGGGGTGTTGATGGAAGGCTAAGGGAGTCTCCCACCATGTTTGAGGAAAAAGGAGAAAACACCCTGGTTTACCCTTTTCACCCCTGGGGTCAACATAATCACTTCTTCCCCTAACTTCTTTAGACCTCAGTGTGGGTCTCCATATAGCCTGACTCGGAGTTGTGGAGGGTCAGGTTTTTTTGTTTTTTTTTTTTTAATTTTCTTGCTTTCATAAAGTTTATTTATTTTGAGAGAGAGGGAGAAAGAGAGAGAGAGTGATCGGGGAAGGGGCAGAGAGAAATTGGGAGACAGAGGATCCAAAGCGGGCTCTGTGCTGAGAGGAGCGAGCCCCATGCGGGGCTCGAACCCATAAACCATGAGATCATGACCTGAGCCGGAGTTGGACGCTCAATCGACTGAGCCACCCAGGCGCCCCTGTTTGTTCGAAAGGCATTCAGATAAAATTCCAATTCCAAGGACACAGCATGAACCCTGTACCCTAAGGAGAAGCCATCAGGTCATAGGCGATTTGTCCAGCCATCTGCTGTCACCTCAGGACTGAGATGAGAGGGAGGCCCCAGGATCTGAGCCTTTTCTGAATGGCGGAGTTTTGAGCTGACCTGACATGAATCAAAAAATAAGAAATCGGAATGAATTTGTCAATTCCAAACACAAAGACATCATTTTTAACTGCGCTGCAATGAAATCCTAAGAATTCCTCTCTCCCTCCCTGCCTTCCCAATACAAATACACACACGCAAATAAATTCAGTTCAAACCGGATGCTAACTCAACTGGAATAAAAGCCAACAATATATTGTTGCCCTGAGTCCCTTTGTTTAGCACATTGTGACATAATGTTCAATGACATGGAGGGGTGAGCTCAAAAGAAGGCCTCCTTGAGGTATTTATCCTGGAAGTACAGGCCCTGTGGGCGGGGCATGTGTCGGGTGGGAGGCCCCTGGCCTTAATGTCGTATTTGAGGTTCCCTAGATGTGCAACCTGGGGCAAGGCGCTGGCTCTCCATTCCTTATAAAATGGGGCCAGCGACACCTGCCTGTCTTACAGGTTGGTCGCTGTGAGCATCAAAGGGAACAATTAGGAAAGATCTCTGGAGGCCGTGAGCTGCTGAGTGTCTCAGCATCTTGTCCCAGGAGGTGCACGTAGACGGGCGGCCTGCAGAGCCTGGCTCCACGTGTGGTGCTCCCGAGTGGGCGGATGACCACAGCAGGGACGGGATACCCCAGGTCGGAGTGAGATCACTGGTTTGCTCCCCCAGCCGTGGCGGGTTACTGCCGCCACGGCCTGATGGGCCTTGCCTCCTCCAGAGGACGATTCTGGGAGCGGAACAAAGCACTCTAGGGTGGCCCAGCCCCTAGTGGCCTGTGTATTCCTAACCCATCTCTACCTGTGCTCCAAGCCCTGGCCCCCCATGTGTTCGGGAAGGGAAAGGTGGAGCCCGCCCCTGATCTGGGGTGGGGGGAGGGGCCCCCCCCAACAACTGTGCAGCTGACCAATCCTAACTTGCCTCTTTCAGCACCTTGTTCCTGAATTCATTCAAGTATTTGCTGAGCACCTAGAATATGCCATGCTGTGGGTCACAGAAGTAGAGGCAGGAAGAGATGTTGACCCCGCTCTCATGGAGATTACAGTTTAGTGGGGGGGGGGTGGCGAGGGGGGGAGAGCCATTAATCAAAAACAGGAACGAACTGAACTAGCATTTTGTCAAGAGCCACAAAGACGTAGGGCTGGGACAGCAGAGCGTAGCCCCGTGTGACGTCGTGCAGGAGGTCAGAGGAGGTTTCTCTGAGCAAGTGAGGACACAGCTGACTTTCTTCATCTCTCCTAGCGCCCTGCCTGGCCAAGGAGTAACTCCGTTTCTTGTCTCTGTAAGGTTTTGCTCTAAC